GCTGCCGTGAGATGCTGCCATCATGTCGTGCGGACGGACTGACGTAGCACCCTCTTAAAGTAGTGCATCTCTTGTACAATTTCAACGTGCGAGGCCTGAAATCGCTCTGACATCCAGACATACTCTGCCGAGATAATATGCCAGCAGCAATCCTAGGGTAACGGACCAAGCCCCGGGAAGCTAAGACTGAAGCAAGACCAGCGTTTTCGGTACGGTACATATACGCCTATTAGCGTAGTGCACCTCACACACGAGCCGGATAATGCGATTCACACTTATTAGAACTTAACACATCTTGCTGACAATGTCGGTGGAACTTCCAAGACTTCGGTCCGATGAATAAGACTCCTGCATTGCCGTGAGATGTTGCCATCATGTGGGGACGGACTGAAGTAGCACCCTCTTCAGGTAGTACACCTCCTGTATAATTCCAATCGGCGAGACCCAAAAACCGCTCTGACATCCAGACATACTCTACCGAGATAATATGTCAATAGCAATCCTAAAGAAACGGACCAAGCCCCGGAAATCGAAGACCGAAATAAATCCCACGTTTTCAGTACGGTACATGTGCTTTAATTGGCGCAGTGCGCCTCATACACGGGTCCGGATAATGTAATTCACATCTGCTAGAAATAAATACGTCGTGCGGACAATGTCCATTCAGTTACAACACTTCGGTTTAATGAATAAGACCCATGCATTGTGAGATGTTGCCATCATGTGCGGACGGACTGCAGTAGCACCCTCTTAAAGTAGTGCACCTGTTGTATAATTCCGATTGGCGAGACCTAAAAACCGCTCTGATGTGCAAAGACATACCCTGCCGAGATAATATGCCGACATGAACCCCAAAGAAAGAAGCCAAGCCCCGGAAGCCGAGGACCGAAGCGAAGGCAGCGCTTTCGGTACAGTACATATACGTTTATTGGTACGGGGCACCTGAAACTAGATTCCTTATAATGCGATTCACACTTATTAGAACTAAACACATCGTGCTGACAATGTCGGTGGAACTGCAAGACTTCGGTCCGATGAATAAGACTCATGCATTGCCGTGAGATGTTGCCATCATGTGAGGACGGACTGCAGTAGCACCATCTTCAGGTAGTACACCTCTTGTATAATTCCAATCGGCGAGACCTAAAAACCGCTTTGACAGCCCCGGAAACCGAAGACTGAAGCGAGGCCAACGTTTTCGGTATGGTGCATACATGTGTATAAGCGCAGCGCACCTTATACACGAGAGTACTATCTCGGTAGAGAATGTTCTTGGATGCCACAAGCGTTTTCAGATCTCGCCAACTGGAATAATGCGAGAGGTACACTACTTTAAGGGGCTGCTTCTACGGTCAGTCCGCGCAACATGATGATGATATCTCACGGCAATGCATGAGTCTTGTTCATTGAACCGAAGTACGACATTGTCGCGGCGACGGGTTAATTTCTAGTAAGTGTGAATCGAACTATAAGGAATGGTGTTTCAAGTGCCCCGCGCCATTAGACGTATATGTGCCGTACCGAAAACGTTGGCTTTGCTTCGGTCTTCGGTTTGCGGGGCTTGGCCTATTTCCTTGGGGCTGCTGTCGGCATATTATCTCGGTAGAGCGTGCATTTGGATGTCAGAGCGGTTTTTAGGTCTCGTCAATTCGAATTATACAAGAGGTGCACTACTCTAAGGGGCTGGTGCTGCAGTCCGTCCGCACATGATCGCAACATCTCACGACATTGCATGGGTCTTATTCATTGAACCGAAGCGTTGTAACAACCGACAATGTCCGCACGACGTATTTATTTATAGCAAGTGTGAATTGCATTATCCGGACCCGTGGATGAGGTGCAATGCGCCCATTAAAGCATATGTACCGTACTGAAAACGTGGGATTTACTTCGGTCTTCGGTTTCCGGGGCTTGGCTTATTACTTTGGCATTGTTGTTATCATATTCTCTCGGTAGAGCATGTCTTTGGAAGTCAGGTACGGTTTGGATGTTCCGGTACGGCACGTATACGCTAATAGACGCATATGTGCCGTACCGAAAACGCTGGCTTTGCTTCAGTCCTCGATTTCCGGGGCTAGGTCCGTTTCATTAGGATCGCTATTGGCATATTATCTCGGTAGAGTATGTCTGGATGTCAGAGCGGTTTTTAGGTATCGCCAATTGGAATTATACAGGAGGTGTACTACCTGAAGAGGGTGCTACTTCAGTCCGTCCCCACATGATGGCAACATCTCACGGCAATGCATGAGTCTTATTCATCGGACCGAGGTCTTGGAGTTCCACATCAGCACGATGTGTTAAGTTCTAATAAGTGTGAATCGCATCATCCGGACTCGTGTGTGAGGTGCACTACGCTAATAGACGTATATGTACCGTACCGAAAACGCTGGCCTTGCTTCAGTCTTATTTTCCCGGGGCTTGGTCCGTTTCATTAGGATTACTGTTGGCATATTATCTCGGCAGAGTATGTCTCTGGATGTCTGAGCGATTTCAGGCCTCGCTCGTTGGAATTGTACAAGAGGTGCACTACTTTAAGAGGGTGCTACGACAGTCCCTCCGCACGACATGATGGCAACATCTCACGGCAGCGGAGTATTCATATAAATTGAACCTAAGTGTTGTACCTTAAGCGACATTGTCGTCACGGTGTGTTTGGTTCTAATGAGTGTGAATCGCATTATCCGGACTCGTGTATGAGGTACACTGCGCTAATAGACGTTAATGTACCGTACCGTTGGATTGGCTTCGGTGTTAGGTTCCCGTGGGTTGGTCCGTTTTTTAAGATTGCTGGATATGCTTCAGTTCAACCGACGTTGTTGGCTCTTTCTCTGTGTTGTCTGTTTGGGAATATCAATTAAAGCTTCACAACTGGAAATAAATTAGGAGTGCAATAATAAAGTAAGAAGTAGAAAGAAGTGCAATGATATGGTAAGAGTGTAGGCGCCTTTCTGGGCTGCGCGCGATGTGCCTTAAGTTATCGCATATTTGATAATAATGATCAAAATTATGTTATGTGCGAATGCTCAGCGCACCAACAGATAATTCGAGACACGAATGTGCAGAACTGGGATACTATTCTTGGTTCCTCGTATGTCCATGATTTGATGCTTAGGTTGCCCTTTAAGTACGTGCTATAAATCGTCTGCTGTCTGTGTGTTAAAAATCACGTTACTGGTTTGTTGCCGAAATTATTATGTCAGATGGTAATTTCTTGAAGATGATAGGCGCTCATGCGAGCATTGTGAGTAGCAATGATCGAAGCGACGAAGTGAATAATGCTAATTGCCTGCTCGTTATTTTTGCGGCTAAAGATGTTGTCTGGGTTGTATGATTTTCAAGTTGGGCAATTGTGCTAACGCGAGCTGGTCGTGCCCATTTCGTACTGCTCACAAAACGCTCGCGGTGGAGATTTTTCTTCTAAAAAAGGTGAAGTACTTGAAGAATCCTGAAGAGACTAGGTATACTGTGTAACAAAGCTATGCGATTTGGGTACTTGCAGGTGTGCAATACACATTTTTTGAATAATTGTAACAGAAAATAATTGTTCTTGTCACTTAAGCCATATACGTACTTCATTTTCTCACTTGGTGATTTATAGATTTCACCCAAGCTTTCATCCTCAGTCGACATCTAGCTAAGCCTTAAGTGGTATTTTTGTGTCTTAAATGTTTTTTTTCTTACAGCTGCACATAATAAAATAAGCTGAGGCAGAAGAGTATTGTGAAAGAAAATGAAAAAGCATCTTGTAAGCTACTTGTAGACTAATTTTGAACCGTGAACTGATATGACCTGATCCTTGTGGGGGAATAGAAATGGGCGGAATGTACTCCACACAATTTAATTGCTTACCTCCATGCTCTTCATATCCGTTTTGACGTATCAACATATATTTTGCCTGCATGTATCAGAACGACAACGTGTACATTTCGATACATCTGGTGACCTGACATTTAACTTGAGTTTGAACATTTGGCACTCATTTTTCATCATTTGACTAGAACTCAGCAACAGCGTCTGTTCTTCTCGCACATCGAGAAGTGAATATTTGAGAGGGAAGTCAAATACCCCACCCCCCAGACGAGCGCAGTTGTCTCAGACCCCCGGCAGGGTGCAGGTTGAGACGGGGCACATCATCGCGGAATAGCCGACCGGACGGTCAGCTACCTGCAGCAGGTTCAGCTGTTGTGTATCCTGGACCACCCGAGGGCCATCTGGAGCTCGTTTTGTTGTCACGACTTGGTGGGTGTGGGTACACTGTTGGCCACCGCCGTTGCTGATCGTGTTTTGCCATTTAACTGGCCGTCAAATTCAACCAGGCACAATTGTGCAACGACTATGCCTGCCATTACTCACCGGAACATGACTATTTTTTATCGTGGCCAATGTGTACTCCAAAAAGCTGCCGCACGATGCAGTCAGTCGTCCAGTATCCCGACCCAGGCGTTATTAAGTGAACACTTGTCAAATATCTGAAGTACAGTTTAGTACAAAATCAGCATGGTCCAACTAGTAGCGCGTCTAGGTGCCTAGCACACCAATAGTTGAGTAATCTTTTCTGCATTTTTTTGCCCCACATTCCCATTTTGTTCACAGCGACTGGGTGAGTGGGAGGGGGCGAGCTCAGCTCCCGTTCCCATAGCCCCGAGAATGTATCACGTGACACCCCTGGACGACATAATTTGAATGGTCTGGAAGCGTCGTCACGTGTATGTGCAGCGTGCTGGTGATGCCAATGACAAACATGCAGTTAGATTAAACGCACAGATGGTCTTGTTTCCTGTTGTTGAATGCAAAACTTTGAAACGCGTTGTTAGGTCGGTCACGGACAGACGCCAGTACAAACGACTGAGATAACGCACGCCTGGTTGTTAGGCCGTGGTCGGCTGGCGGCGGCGTCAGCCGTCAATCTGTGCGTCGCGCGCTGTCCGCTGTCACCACCGGCGACCCCGGGCCGTTCTGATAACTTCCTCTTACCCGTCTATCGGCTCTGATTGCGTCAGGTGGTGGCGCTACGTATCCGGAGGCGGGACGGGCAGGCTAACCGGCGGCGGGCGCTGGCAGAGCTGGTGCCGCTCCCTGCCAGTGAGGTCACCACCCGCCGCCGTCATGAACGTCACTGAAGTGATCAGCCCCACCGTCAAGTGTCGGGTATGTAGCCGTCTGTGCGTGGGATGGCCGGTCGCCGATAGTCCGCTGTTGCGATGCTGGTCATATATTCGCCGTCATTGGTAGCTGTGGTCAAAGATGGAGTGGTTGTGTGCTGGGATGTTAAGGTGAAATGATCTGCGCGTGCACTGCATGTTAATGTGTTGCCAGCTGTGTTTTATGGCTTTGTTCTTGTTCTCCCATCGGCTGTAGTAGGATCGTTTGAACGGACTTAACCTTTCCTTAAGAAATGGAGTCAACATGCACTGAAGTGGGTCGAGCATCTGTTTCTGATTCATTGGGTGTTTCGTTGTGTCCGGAAGTTTTTCTTGATGCCGTGATGTTTTGCAACTTTTGCACCTCAGCATTGGATCCTTGGGAGGCGAATGCAAGGCAGTGTTCCTTTCATTATGTCAGTGTTGAAGCTATAGTGTTACGGCCAAAGACAGCGTGCAAAATGACGGCATTTCAGTTATCCGAGACGTATGCTTTCTTACCCAGAATCTGCCGTCCATCCTAGACAAAACAACATGTTTTATCGCCGGCCTTTTGAAGTGCGCACATCCGACTTTGGCACTGTCGCGGAGGCAATTGCTCACCAAGAAATGGTTTTACACAGCTGCAGAACCTCTTGCGCTAGATCTGTTCCAACTTCGATGGCCTGTTATTCTTCACCAATTGTCATACGCCCTGGAGTTACAGATCCCATGTCATGTGCAGTCTTTTGCCTTGTTGGGTTTTAGCTATGCATACCGGACACCAACGTGGTTTGATATTCCTGGGGTTTAACACTGCAGGGACGCGTCTCACGCAACCTGTAAAGCGCGAGGGGGGACTGTCCCCCACAACTTAAGTGAGACCCAATGTTGTCAAACGTGTACACACAGATGATCAGGTGAAGCGATTAAAAATATAAAAATGCCACATAGAGCACTAAATGCACTTGATACGCCGTGGGCACCGGAATCCTTAAGTGGGATTCCGAATTCATCTTGTCGGAAGGTGGTAGGGAGACATCAATTTTCGTTATTTCTTTCTAGTTCCCACCCATAGAGCTAAAAGCTCAAGTGTTCAAACACTTGGAGACTCAATTCCGCTCCCCTGGCCACGTGGTTCTCGCGTCTGCGTCGTCGATGGAGTCTGAAGCGTATGTTTTCGCAGCGCGACTCTTGACATACCGTAGAATTATCGCGCCGAATTAACTTCATGAAGCTCCTCGTATTACAAACGTCCGAGTGCGCATGCGCGACTTCGGTTGTTCAACGTCCCTCTCTCCGCGGGATTGGGGCTTTGTATCTTGTTGCTAGGAGCAAGACCCATGTTGATATGTTCAACCGCAACTTCGGGCTGGGTCCCTGCGGTGTGGAATTCAGCCACATTATGACATCCGTTCTCACAGGAACAGAAGGAAAACAAACGTCGACGACGCATCTGGAGTTGGCTCGGGGCCACGTGGCCAGGCTAGTGCGGGAGTAAACACCGCCATGTTTTGTTCACTTCAGCTTCAAAGCAAAGAGTAATGGCGATCTGAGTTGTTATTTTTTGCACCTAAAACAATGCTAAGCACCCATTGTCAAAGACAGATTGTAAACGAACTCTGGTTATTGTGAGCGATGGCACAATGACCCCTGAAGGTCAGCTGTTCGCAGCTATTGCCTTATTTCCGAGCCGGTTTCATGGCTACGTACGCTTTTCTGGCCTGTCCACGAAACCACGAAATCGTCTGATGAAAACTACACAGATACAACAGCACTGCTTCAGCCGTGCTGGTCACGTGGCACCGCGCCATGGCATGACCGGCAGGGATGCCCTCCGGCCACAGGTTCACCTCCACGTGCACCTGGATGGCGCCGTCCGCCCCTCCACCGTCTGGGAGCTGAGCAGGTAAGCCTGTGTACGGCTCACAGAGCCACGCCCCGGCCATAGATAAACTTACTGTAACAGACAGATCAAGTGCCAAAAAAATCATTTGGATAGTGCACACGGTCGCAGCATGTACTAATTCCGATGTCAGTGCCATCCTTTTTGACGGCACTTCGTTGGTTTTTGGAAATGCACGAGGATCTGGAACTCTAAGGTTTTGCACGTGCCCTACGGATGCTAGTTGCATAACTGCAGTGGATATAGGTAATTGATGACGTAACAGTGCGATGCCGTTACCTGAACTAAAAAGTACAGAAGTGGTAAGTTTTTTTAAGTCGTTCTACCTCTGTAGAGCTGATAAGGTACATTTTACAATTGCAGTATTGGCCTCGCTCTAATAAAAGATATAGTCGTTGTTTTTGCTGGTTCCAATCCCTTAAGACCAGCATGAGCGCAACTGTGACATTCAAAATAATCTGTGACGTCATCAGTGACTACCGGGCGAGCAAGTTGTCATGTGTTTGGTTCGCACGATCCGGGGGTTTGAGCAGTTTTTGCCGTGATCTGAATGAGCCCACCTCTCGGCCGATTCTAAAGACATTTGGAAACGTGTTAAACTGTTAACCCTGCCCCGCCCCCCAGCAACGGCAAGGGGAAAGGTGTGAAATGTTTTACAAAATGCTTGGTTAAATGCCTTGTGAAATAATGACCATCCAAGGTGACCATTTGCTTTCAGACAGAAAAAGTTGCTTCTACCTGGAAACGGCAGCTTGAAAGATCTGGAAGAAGCTCTGCAAATTCATTCGCCTCGGGATTTGGCACATTTCCTCGAAAAATTTCGATGGATTTCACCAGCCATTGTGTGAGTGAATGTCTACTACGCATTAATGATGAATGGGGTTTTTGGGTATTCGGCCCAGTGCAAAGCATTGGAGACGTGGCACTTGGCCGGCGTCGACGCGTGATCGTTGCTTTATACCGAATGTTAGGCTATATTAAAGAATTGGGAGAATGAGGAATTCTTTCGGATGTGGATCCAAATGCATTGTGGATAAATTAAAGATTTTCTTTGAGAGTGTCAAGATTTCTCCAGCCTATCGGTGCGTGCTTACGTGCATGTGTGCGTGTTTGCGTCCATGCTAAGTGTAGTGAACTACTAGTGTACTTCCAGTTTTTGCTTCTTTTTCTATTCATGTCACGTGACCATATTTTCGTCATTTTTTACGTACGCTTGTGGACAGGCCTCGCCGCAACCAAACCGCTCCATAAAAGCCAACAATTACCTCTAATAACGCTCAAAAATAGCGAAAAGCAATGCAGGTGTACTTCGGCCTCGTGGCACACGGTCCTTGTAGTGTCGGGAGAAATGCAGACTGCGTGAACTTCTCACATGTGTGCTGTCGCAGGCAGCTTTGCATTTATAGGCCTCACGTGGTTCCGGGACGGATCGCAAATTGAGATGGTCACCATTGAGGGTACCGGACTACAGATGCAACCAGCCATAGTCTTAGAATGAGCCAGATCGGGGATTTCCACTGACCCACGGAACCTCTTTCTCAACGGATTCAGCACTGCAATACCTTTTCTCCTAACGGATTCGTCTCTGCAATATGTTTTCGGACCGTTTTAGACGATTCTTATCGAAAAACCCACGTATAAAAAGTTTGATATTCGACCGCCGCCATCAGGGCTGACCTTTTGACCACTGTCGCCAGAGACGAACCAGCCTACTTTCACCAGAAGCGGCAGCCGAACGCTGGCGGCAGGTTGACCTCTGACCGCTGTCATCAAGGGTGACCTCTGACCTCTGTCATCAGGGGGGACCTCCGACCTCCGTCATCAGGGGGACCTCTGACGGCTGTCATCAGTGGTGATTTCTAACCTCTGTCATCAGGAGGACCTTTCTGCCGTCAAAAGGCAAAAAGCCGTAACTCGATTATGATCGATTTTTCGTTTTTGGTGTCATTTTGAAGCTTTCGCGAAGACGCCTCTGATGGTGGCGAGCATACACTTACGCGCGTTTTGTATTTCGAATTATAAGTGTATATGATCTGTCAAAAATCCGCATCGCGCTAAGTGACAATGATGCACGGCAGGCAAAAGGCCGCAAGTACGATTTCAGCCAGACAAAAAGCCGTATCTACTGCACAGGGCACATGCGGCTCTTTGTTCACTGTGCTTTGGTCCGCAAGAGGAGTCTTCCGTCAGGTAAAAAGCCGCATCCGAACAACATGGGGCATACGGCTTTTTGCCTGCCAAAAGCGCTCCCGATACCAGTGCATTTTCAGTCGCAAAAAAACACGTATTCTCAGAAGCAGTACTACGGCTGCGTGACGATTGCGCGTGCTGCCGGTTGCACGTGAATAATTACAGAGGCGCAGCCAGGGATCGGGGGGGGGGGGGGGGAGCAAGGGGCCCAAGCTGGGATCCCCGAGGCCTGGATGTTTCTGTGAGTAGCAAAGATGATTCCTCACACAGGGTTAAAATCACCGTGATTTATCGCTGAACATCACCTCGCCCCGCGCCGTAAAAATCCTGGCTACGCCTCTGCTCCATCACATAAACTGCCTACTCCTCGTTCCGAAACCTGACGTATTGCCAGATTCGGCTAGCCCGCGTAAGACGGAACAACTTGGCCACTAGTTGTCTGATTGAGTTTTAACCAGAATTTAAATATTTCAATTTGACCCAATTTGACCTAAGTGAACCAACCATGGACGAAAAGAAAAGGAAAAAACGACGAGTGGTTAGAGTAGATTGGGATGACACATCTTTCGGGGAATGGCACTATGTTGCTATTTCTGATCTGCGACCAATGCCTGGGTCAACGCTGGAGGCTGGAGGCAGAGTGCGACTGAGACACAACGGCAAATACTGGACCGGGACGATTGCAGCAAAGAAGCGTCGTCTGGCATTCGGTAAGTGATGACCGATACTATTCACCTAACAAACATTCTGTTTGATATTCACCCATCAGTCTTGACACGCTTAAGACACATTTTGCATTCGTACGAAGCCTGTCCTGCCAGGGGGAGCGGAATTCCTCCCAAGTTGGGGGGGGGGGGGGCGACAAACCATTCATGGTCACTTTTTCGGAAGTGCCGGTACGTCCAATGATACATTTTCAAAGTTTGTGGCTCAGTCCTCGTCCTCGTTGCCCCCCCCCCCCCCTCCCAGGTTGTCGCGCTTTCGCTATCATGCATAAGTTTTCAGTCTAACTTGCCCTGGCTCTCGGTAAGCAGCTCTTGCCACATGGCTGTGATATGGTTTACTTGGAAAAATAGGTGATGCGGAACGCAGCAGGCTTTGGTGTTCTAACATTTTCTTGAGGAAATGTCAACTGCATCCAGTTCAATGTATCCGCGTTTACAGCAACGCCACCAATTCGTTTTGTTAATGTAAACCCGCTCGTTGTAAACATATTTCTAGGATTTCATTTCATTCTCATTATATATATAATATTTATAGATATAGATAGTGATATATATAATATATATATATATATATCATCTCTCTCTCTCTCTCTCTCTCTCATCCTCTCTCTCCTCGCTCCTCTCTCCTCTCTCCTCTCTCTCTCCTTCGCTCTCTCTCTCTCTCAACTAACCACGAGTAGCATTCCGTATAGCGTATTGTTACTTTTGCAGAGCATGGCCGCTTACCGTTAGCGTGTCCACTGCGGAGAGGCCAAAGTGCACATAAATCGCATCAGGTATGAGACACAATAAATTTTGTCTATTGTTTGAGAGCCAATAAGGGGAACTAGAACCCACGACATCTTAGTTAGGCTGGTACGCATTAAACTATGCGATTCTTGCGCATGCTTCAAGTCGCACTACACGATTTGCTCTACTTGTTTTGATCGTGTTATGACATAGATGGATTGTTGCGCAGCCTGTTAAAACTGGCATAAATTTTCTAACATCCGAGGTTTGGTGTTTGCGGACAGTTCTTGAAAGTTCGCACACCACTGTCCCCTGGCGTTTTTATATTCGTTCACCCCCGACCGGCCAGCTGTTTCCCAACCTCTCGTGTTCACTTGGTTGGTTGAGGTCAACAGCATCCAGCCTTGAACATCTGGTGTGTTTTCGCATTTCATATCCATCCCTGATGCGAAAACGCAGCTTCGTCCCAACCTGCATGCCTACCGGCCCTCCAACGGGCAACTGCTGCCAGCCTGTCTACCTGTGCCACCCTTCCGGCCTCTATCACCCCACTATCGCGTACCGGAGCCAGCCTCCGCCAGGCACTAGCGTGACCCCGCTAACCGGTTGCCAAGGCCCGCCACTCACCAGTTATCGCCGCCTCCACCCTGCCGGATACCCGCCGCCACCCTGCCGGATACCGCCGTCACCTGCCGGTACTGCCGCCCCACCCTGCCGGATACCGCCGCCACCCTGCGGACCCACCGCCGCCACTGCCGCACCCTGCCGGATACCGCTGCCACCCTGCCCGGATACCGCCGTCACTCTGCCGTTACCGCCGCCGCCACCCTGCCGGTATACCGCCACCACTCTACCAGTTACCGCCGCCGCCACCCTGCCGATACCGCCGCCGCCACTCTAGCGGTCGCCGAGGCTACTCTGCCAGCAACTGTTACAGTGGACTGCGCGGGGCTCTGAGATGTGCGCCTCGCCAGACATCCCCCATGGTTCAAGTGAGCTGTCCTGGTTACTCGTAGCATGTCAGTATTGTTTGATAGTAATCATTCGGTAGATTTTTCTCTGCCATAAACAACACCAGTGACAGCCAGAGCGCTCCCATCTCTACGGTCAAACGCACGTCATAACGAAGCTGCCCAATTCTGTCCTGCCGTCACTTCCAGTCCACATGTGTCATTGCGCTCAGAACCAATCCATACCGAACAGGACACTAACCTCCTAGACATGCAAGCCACAGACAGTAACTTCATAGACCTGCAACCCCTAGACGCTGGCCTCTCAGACCTAGCCCCGTATGCTAGCCTCCCGGATCTGCAAGCCCCCGACGCTGGCCTAGACCTGCAAGACCCGGACGCTGGCCTCGCAGACATGCAAGCCCCGGACGCAGGCCTCCCGGACCCACAAGCCCACAACTTTGGCCTAGACTTGCACGACCGGGACGCTGGCCATACGAAAGTTAAAAAAAGACAACGGGCACGAACTCCTCAAAACAAAACTGAGGGCTTCAAAACCAAGCATCTGCTCCTGTCAGCGCCAGTGGGCTGCAAAGAGGGTACCTGCCAGCTGAAATGTGGTCGGAGAGTTCCGGAAAATGTGCGAGAAGAGATCAATACTGCAGTAAACTCACTGTCGCGGCCAGCTAGACGTACGTGGTACCGTCGTTACGTAACGGATCGGGTCAGCGGGTCGAAATCAGGAGATGAGCAAAAAGAAAACAAAAGAAGACGAGTCCTTCGGTGGCATCTCCCGGTTGGCACCGAAGCTGTTGCCGTATGCAAAATATTCTTCCTGGCAACTTTGAGCTTTAAGAACGGCAATGACAAGCCAGTCCTCGCCAGTATCACTTCTCAGCCAGCAGCCCCCATGGATCGCAGAGGAGGGAAGACCCCAAGAAACAAATTGGACAGCGCAATCATCGAGCATCACATCATGCCATTTAAGCCAGTTGCTCCTCATTATAGGTATTTGCACGCTCCGCAGCGGCGGTACCTGCCTCCGGATTTGAATACAGCCATACTCTTCAAACATTTTCAAGAAATGCATGTCACCAACATATGCTCAGAAACAAGATATCGTCGAACCATGGCTGAAATGAACATAGGGTTCACAAAACTTGGTAACGAGGAATGTGCCGAATGCGCGGCACATTCACTGCATACGTGCAGGGACAACGACGGGACGTGTCTTGACTGCCAAGCTCATATCCAGCACATCAAGCACAGAAACGAGGCGCGGATCGCTTATAAGGAAGACGCAGAACGAGTGTGGGAAGACAATGAGCTTGTCGTGTCCGCAGATATGATGCGGATCTTCCTTCTGCCACAGCTCCCGCACAAAGTCGCCATATCCACGTCTCGACTTGTGGTTTACAACGGGACGTTTGCACCGCTCGGCAAACGAGAGCCGAAGGCTGTTTCGATCGTGTGGCATGAGGGTACAGCGGGGCGGGACGCGGCTGACGTATGTTCCGCCTTCGTTCGGTACATCGAGCTGCAACGAGATGTGGAGGCCATCACGATTTGGCTAGATAATTGTTCCGGGCAGAACAAAAATGGGATACTTATTACAGGCCTCATGCAGGCCGTCAACAAGCCTGGTAAGATGCTGAATCAGGTGACCCTCAAGTTCCTCCAAAAGGGCCACACTTCGATGTCGGCGGACGCAGTCCACCAGGTCTGCAACAAGAGCCTGAAGCGTCGTAGAGTGGTGGCAGACATGGAGGACTTTACAACCGTTATCGAAGACTCGTCGAAGGTGATCGAGATGAAGCCTAATGACTTCCTCAACATCACAAGTGGCGTGAGTGCCCAGAAGCTGAAGCTCCTAACGGAGGAAAACTGCCGACTATATCTGGCCTCATGCAAGGCGATCCAGGTTCGCCGTGGCCAGGACCTGGTGTTCACCAAAGTAAGCCACTCATCCAACAGCTGGCGTGCGTTCGACCTAGCAAAAACGACATTCTTCCCACGGGAACAGCCAGCGGCAAAGATGCGTCCGCGCGGTGTCAACAGAGCAAAGCTGGAGACATTGAAGCAGCAGCTCCTCCCACTGCTGCCGCCACAGAGGCGTGCCTTTTGGGAGAGCCTGACCGGTTCGTCCGCTCGGGAGCTGAGCGACTAAGCGAATCATACAGGACTCCTGATGACCCTGGACGTGTTTGATAACTGCTCCTTCCATTCGAAGCTCCTAATACTGCAACGCACGTCGGCTGTGGATCTGTTATTTTGGGTATGGTTTTGTGATGTAGTTTGTGTATCTGTTTTTTTCTGTAACACCGCTTGTTACCAGACTTTTCCATCAGCATCAGTTAGGTGTTCCGTTCAGGAGCGGAACATGTGAAGGCGGTTCCGTTTGATGCATTCTGGGGCTTGATGGCAGAAAGGTGATGAGGCTCAGTGGCAGTGAGTGATACATTTTATGGTTATCAGGTTGCCTGCGGTGTCATTGCATTTGCTTAATGCTTACATCTGTTGGCAATACATTCGATAGGTATGAGACATTCTTTCCTCAGCTTCCGCTGGAGCTGGCAATCTGGCGACATTTTCAGACCCATGCACTAAGAAACCCCACGCCCGAAATGCAGCATTCTGCTTGGATTCGGGGTCCCAAGTGCAAACAAATGCAAGTACCGGACGTGACCTTACCTAACGTAAAGCATTGTATGAAGAGAACGGTCACAAGATCCGGTGTTTATCACTTCCCAAAACTCCTGGTAGGCCAGGCCGGGCCATGTTGGGTACGGGTCATCGGGCCCGGCGATTTTTGTCTCTCAATTCAACACCGAAGCATTATTTTCACCTATATCTCGAATCATTATTATCCCCACGCAGTGTAAAATATGTACAGGGTTAAGCGATACAGCGTTTTGCCTGCGAAGTCCACCCCATGACTCAGTCGAGAAACTCCAAGATACGGCTTTTTGACACATACGGATCTTTGCCTGCCAGATTGGCCCATGGGTGACGACTTTTTCCGCAAGGCAAAACATTTTTGCGTCTTAATTTAAAAACCTTACGTTTAAGCGTCTCAAAAACGTTATCTTAGGATTGGCCATGTAAACGCGGTCAGAATGGTGTATTTTTGCCCTTGCCTGTGCTTGCCCTTCAATATGGGAGAAACCCCTTTTTTGTCTTTCTGAGCAACTTTATGATCGTAAAAACTCGGAGATACGGCTTTTTGCCTTGTGACGGCAGCTTTGACTGTTGCCATCAGGGGGTGACCTCTGACGGCTGTCATCAGAAGTGATCTTTGACCTCTGCCATCAGCGGTGACCTGGCCGCCATCGAGCGTATCGCATACGAGTTTGTGGAGGACGAGGCGCGCCAGGCGGTGCTGTACACGGAGGCGCGCCTCAGCCCACACCTCCTGGTGGGACCGGGGGGTCAGATCACCGCTCGCCAGGTCACCGAAGCGGTAATGCGTGGCATGGCGCGTGGGGAGCGTCAGTTCGGCGTCACCGCCCGTCTCCTGCTCTCCTGCATCCGGGGCATGACAGGTCAGTGACATATTAGTCATGTAAGATCAGAATACCCGTACCAGATCAGCAAGGTAGTGGCAGGCCATCGTGGTCATGACAGGATGACAGGTCGGTGGGTTACTGTCATGCCAGCGGGTTGATACCAGACCAGCGGGGCCATAATCGGTCAGCGGGTCATCCCAGGTCAGCGGGTCATCACAGGCCAGCGGATTCGTGCCAGACCACGGGGTGACAACCGGCCAGCGGGGTAATGCCAGGTCAGCGGGTTTATGCCACGTCAGCGGGTTCACACCAAGTCAGCGGGGTCATGACGGACAGCGGGTCATCTGAGGTTAGCGGGTTAATGACCGGCCAGTGAGGTCAAGTCAGGTCAGCTGATTCGTCCTGCAGTGACCACACAGCTCGTCCGGCTAGCAGTCTGACTCAGCGCAGTGGGTAAACTAATCCCGTGGTTGCGCCAGACGGGAATGATTACCTCAGTGTGTGTTCCGAGCCGTAGCAGACCAAATAACGCCACTCCGTGTCACCTATGTCTGCTGTATGAACAGGGCCCATGGTATCCGTGCATGATATAAGGCTGCCACGCAGAGGTGTAGCTTCACGTTCCGTTTGGGAGCTCCAGCCACCAGCTTGGGCTACTCCCAACTCTGGGAAGAAAGCCGTTTGTTGGCCTGTTTTTGGGAGTATCTTGTGCCATTTTCCACCGCTCAGATCCAACCAACTCATTTCGCAAAAAGTACGCCGCTGCTGCTATGTTTCGCCAGTCCTGGTGGTGTTGCTGTTACCCTGATATCTATGGTGATGGTGCCGCGCCGCCCCAGTGTGGGCCATACTGCAGTTGCCCTGGTGTCGGTGGTGTCGCTGCTGCCCCATTGTCTGTGGAGTACCTGCCTTGGTGTCGGTGCTGGTGCTGCAGCGCTGGTTTCGGCGGTGCTGTGTGCTGTCCCCGTGCGATGATAATGTGTCTTCTGCGGCACTGGTGTCGGTGGTGCTGATAACGTACCTGTGCGGTCACGGCTGCTACGCTGCTGTGTGGGTGTTGCTGCTGCTACGCCCGGTGTTGGTGTTGCTGCTGTTACGCTGTTGTGTCGGTGTTGCTGCTGCTACGCCCGGTGCTGGTGTTGCTGCTGTTACGCCCGGTGCTGGTGTTGCTGCTGTTACGCCCGATGCTGGTGTTGCTGCTGCTACGCCCGGTGTTGGTGTTGCTGCTGTTACGCCCGGTGCTGGTGTTGCTGCGGTCTCAGCTGTGCAATATCAATCATACGTTGCATTTCGCTCCGTTAGCTTTTGCCTCCGCGCACCAATGGATACATGTCGCGGAATTATGAAGGTGCCTTCAAACAACACAATAATGTTGCAACAAAACGAGTGAAAACAAAACATTTTTCACACAGCCCCCTATAACCTTGCCGGACTTGAACTGTTGTGTTGCACTTCAACCGCACATATCCTGCCGTAACACGGTCGACGTGCTTACCTTTTCTTGCGCTCCTCTGCGAACTGCGACGGGCTCGGAACGTGTCACGTCCTGTGTGCTACCCAAATGAAGCTATGGGAAGGCTCTGATACCGTTCGGTGCGGCCCACCTAACGTGGTCTTCCCCAGAGAACTACGACGACACGCTGGACATGTGCACCGAGTTCCGAGGCCAGGTGGTCGGCATCGACATCGCTGGAGACGAAGCCTCGGCCGTCGAAGTCGACGGTCAGTCGATGGGCAGTCGTACCGAGTCATCGGTCTTGTGTGTGGGAGCATCCGTTCGAAGCGTCTGACGCGTGGCCGTGCGTGCGCGAGATGGCGAGGCGGTAGATGGCGCTGGCTTCCGTGCTTCACGTAAGGTTCCTCGCCAGTTGCATGCTGACCTGCACATGTCAGCGATCTGTCAAGGTCAGCCTCTGAATAATCACCTGTCCTGCCAGTTTCGGCTCTGAGAGACCATCTGACCATCAGAGGCCGCCCCTGAATGAATATCTAGCGTTCAGAGGCCGCCTCCGGGTGACCATCTGACGTCAGAGCCCGCTCCTGAGTGACCATCTGACTCCTCGAGCAGGGAGCGTCAATGCTGGTCTGCTGCGGGCCGAGGTTCGCACGTTCCAGGAGGCGGCGCGCCGAGGCATCCACCGCACCGTGCACGCCAGCGAGGCCGGCACGGCCAGCATGGTGCAGCTGGTGAGTACGCAGCAGCCGGCCAAAGCCGGGGTGGCGAGGCCGGGCCTGGTGCAGCTGGTGAGTACGCAGCAGCCGGCCAAAGCCGGGGTGGCGAGGCCGGCCCGGCCAGCATGGTGCAGCTGGTGAGTACGCAGCAGCCGGCCAAAGCCGGGGTGGCGAGGCCGGGCCTGGTGCAGCTGGTGCAGCTGGTGCAGCTGGTCAGTACGCAGCAGCCGGCCAAAGCCGGGGTGGCGAGGCCGGGCCTGGTGCAGCTGGTCAGTACGCAGAAGCCGGCCGAAACCGGGGCGGCGAGTGGGTTGATGTGAGGAAGATACGGGCACAGAAAGAGAGGCAGGGAGGCAGGCACCCTCTTGGTCTTGCGCTCGAGCCATCGGTCGAAGCCATCGGTAACGGTATCCCAACACCTCGTGCAGAGATGGGTACGGGACCCCCTAGCACCCCGTGCAGTGGTGGGATCTCCCGGCATGTCAGGTCTGGTGATAAGCGAGTACATTTAAAGTGGCGGACGAGGGTGGGGAACAAAACAGGGGAGGATGGGGAGGTGGCAGACACAAAGAAGATATGGACAGGGAAGGGGAGGGAGGAAGGAAAGCACGCTCGATATAAGGGTAGGGAGCAAAACAGAGTAGGGGGGGGGGGGGCAGAGATAGAGATAGGACAAAAAAGGGGATGAAGCGCGAACAGGTCGCGTTTGAAATAGGTTAAGTGTTACACCGGGGGACGGGTGCAAATACATATGAAACATCAGTTGGAGAAAAGAGTGGAAACGAAATGCAGACATCCAGACCTTGCGGGGTTCTGTCAATAGAGCTCACCAGTGTTCCTCATGCTGCTGACCAGTCTGCAAGCGGTTGACGGTCCCATAGCCGTGACAGCCGCGGCTGGCTCGTATTTTGACCCGACCGCGTCAGTTCTGTGCAGCGTGCTTCTAACTCTCCACCAAGTGTCACCAACCGCCCCACGTTGTACCCTGTCTTGTGCATTCTTGTGGGTTCGTAGGAACAGCCCAAAAAGTGTATGGGTAAGTTTGATAAAAGTAGGGCCTTGATCTCCTGGCTTTCGAAATTAGGAGTGGGGAATTATTTTTCTTACAAGCATCGAACCTAAAAAAGCCGTTTGTACCGCCCAGCAATGATATCAAACATGCATTGGCTCTACTCGATCGAACACCTCCATCTCAGTGGATGGTCACTAAAAGAGGCAAATGGATTTCTGAAACCCACATTTCTACGCATCAACCCGTAGCGTAGTCTTGAGCTTTCCGTCAGCTGGGGGCCAATGGCGCCTTCCCTGCTGCTACAGCGCCGCCCCCTGTGCCTGCAGGCTATTGACGAGATGCAGGCGGAGCGGATCGGACACGGTTACTACGTGCTGGAGGACGAGGAGCTGTACCGGCGCTGCGTCAGCCAGGGCGTCCACTTCGAGTGCTGCCCCTCGTCGAGCTTCCTGACCGGCGCTGTGCCGCTCACCGAGACCCGGCACCCCGTGCAGAGGTGGGTACGGGACCTTCCGGCACCCCATGCAAAGGTGGGTACGGGACCTGTCGGCACACCGTGCAGAGGTGGGTACGGGATCTTCCGGCATCCCGTGCAGATGTGGGTACGCGACCTTCCGGCACCCCGTGTAGAGGTGGGTACGGGACCTCTCGGTACCCGGTGCAGATGTGGGTACGGGACCTCCCGGCACCGCGTGCGGGTGTGGGTACAGAATCCCCCGGCATCCCGGTAACTCGGGCTGCGAAGTATAGGACATTTCTACACGCAGTAAGGAGCTAAGTGCTGGTCCCTCCACCGCCTCCTACATTTTGCGTACTGAGACGCCCAACACCTCGTGCAGAGATGGGTACGGGATCCCCTAGCACCCCGTGCAGTGGTGGGATTTCCCGGCATGTCAGGTCTGGTGATAAGCGAGTACATTTAAAGCGGCGGACGAGGCGTGGAGACGTGGAAACGCAGACGTCGATAAAAAGCGCCATAGAGCAGCGTATAGCCGCGGACACGTCTATGGTCTAGCGCACACAGAATCGGCCGCGTCACAGATCGCGCTCAGCAACAGGCTCCGGTACGAACGAACGTTCAATACGTTTGGGTCAGTCGGGCGGAGGGCTCCGGCGCCCGACTGATCGCACGCTCTGCTCCTGGCACGGGCTTCGGCGCCCGACTGATCGCACGCTCCCGAACACAGGTTCTGCCAGGACGGCGCCAGCTTCTCGGCCAACCTGGACGACCCGGCCATCACGCAGAGAAGCCTGGAGGACGAATACGCCCTTCTGAGGCGCATGGGCTTCAACGAGGCCAACATCGCCACCATGGTCAGCATACGCCAGCTACGGCGCTCTCCTCGACAAATTCAGCGCGGCTCACTTCTCGTGCGGCAGCGCCGCATTTTCCCCCCTTCTTTCCGATCAAAAGCATAACTGGCACTTTCACGGAGAAGGCTCCCTTAGGCGTGTAAAGGACGTACGACGGAGGAATGTCACCGTAACAGCGAGCACAGAATATGACCTACGAGGCTATATGGAACTTTGCGGTGTGGCAAGTGGTCAAAAGTTGTCGAGATCTCAGTTCGCAATGCCCCAAATGCTTTCTCCCAGCCCGTGGTACAATTGAACGTTACTGTAAAGATGTGTACCAGTTTACCAACGGAATGCGATCACTTCAAAATAAAAAGTGCACATAAATGTCATGACCGCTAGCGAGTGTAGAAACGTAATGTCAAAGCGAAGCAGCCAGTGTCAAGCAGAGTTCATGAGAAAGAGTGTGGTCTATTCTCCACAGAACTTCAACGCGGCGAAAGCCTGCTTTCTGCCAGAGGAGGAAAAGCGAGATCTGCTGCAGAAACTACGTCAGGCCTACGGTGTGCCTGACTGCGACTGACAGACTACCGTCGTGCCTGACTGCGACTGAGAGAGTGCCGTTCGCTGGCAGGCGCTACACATGTACCAATGCTACTCGCAGACCAATACAGATTATCCGCTACAGCATAAGTCGTATTTAGACAAGTTTAGAGAAGAATCTCGAAGGAAACCTGCTTTTTCAGGTCCAACGAAAATGCGTACCAGGTGTGAACCAGGTGTGAATTAGTGGTGTGAATGTGGTGGGTGTAAATTAGTGCCGCAGGCAAAGTGCGCTGCTTGAGCTAGGACTCTTCTTAGTGCTCACCTGGCGTCTAGAAGCGCGAATAACATTATTTCATGATGCGTTGCTGAAATTATCTGGTCAGAACTTGAGATGGACATAATTATTATAGAACTTTCATCGAAAGCTTTTGAAAGAACCTTTTGGCATCAAGAGCACCACCACTCCTGTAGATGAACTTCCGTGGCTGAGCTCGATTGTGCCGTTGATCCGGAGCTTGTGTTCATCGATTCTGTGGCTCCAACACACCGACTCGTTGATAGGATGACATCACCATTCGAGACGGCGGATGACTTTGCTTTCTCCAGTATATGTGAAAGGATGTTACACACTTCAAAGATGAGTTCTCTAGAAAACCCTCGGTGATTGTGCGCAAACCTCTGCTTCTTGTTTTGTGCTCCAGATCAATCGGCTTTACAAATGCTTTCAGTTTGGCACGGAAATTCGGCATATTTGTAACATTTTAAGATGCTAACAGATCTTGTTTGTGAAGATGGGAAATGGTTTGCACCACGCTCGCCGTGATATTGCTACGCCGCGCGAACAGTTCGTTACGTCCTTTGACAAATTTCACCCCATCCTTTCTACTGAGCATTCCCGGGAGGCACTTCAGGCACACTTGAAAGTAGCAAAACTGAAGGTTTTCTCCGATCTGCCAGCAATGAGGCTTTACACTCACCGATCCTCTGTTGGGCTCTGGCCCGGTTAACTCGGAGACGGCGTCGAATTAGATGCATGTTGCACCAAATTCTATGACCACGGTTCCAGGTGTGATGGGCCAGCATACAACACGGCTTTGCTCCGGCTCTAGGCTATGTTCAATGTTGAACTCCAGTACAACTTTATATAACAGCTACCGACGTGCTGTGAGGACTCGAGCGTACCACGTTACCATCTGCGCTGCTGATGAGGGATGTCAGGCACGTAAGGTCGATTAACACGCACTCGTCATTTAGACATTGTTTTAGAGTTCCCGAAAAATAGCGAAGTGACTAGTTTTAAGCTCAAAATTCATGGTTTCATGGTCACGACCACAGTTCCCGACGTAGTGAGCCGATCACGCCGGGTCAGCCCATACCGACCGGTCGGCTAGTGCCGTGCCTCGGTGCGTGATCCGCCAACGTTCGAATTCCAGTTCCTACCGAGCTAGACGGTATGCTATCGATTTCTTCGTTATTTTTGCTGGAGCAGCGATACTTTAATCTCCATGTGCATACCAGCTCGACGAAAATAGAAACGCGATATTTATCAGAAGATGAGGACAACGGCCCAAACAGGTCATTATATGCACCTAGTTGGCAGCGGTTCATCATGATCCTGCCGGAGCACCTGGTGCGCTCCGACACGGACGGCAGGGACTTCCGCACCCACTGGTGGAAGTGGACCTTTGGCCGACTCCAGCAGATCTTCATTCGGGTAAGCCATCCCCACTTCGCCCCCACTCCCACCCCCTGCCATAAGGCGCCTGACACGCAACGACGAGGGATGGTTATCAGGAGTTGTGGTGTAGTTTTTGGTGCGGGCTGCTGTTTGATACAGAGTCATGCGATCTGCAGACGCCTAGCAACGCGTCACTCTGGTTACGTGTCCATGGCTGCGTTCGCTTAGCTACGTTCCTCCCACCACGTCTCTAAAGGCATGCTCCCGGTGACGCTCTCCCCCTCCCCCTGCGCGCCCCTGGGGTTTCTGACGGCGACCCTCTCTCCGCGTGTCTCCGACCGCCGCCGCCTGACCACGTGCCCCTGGTGACGCCCCTGGGGTTTCTGACGGCGACCCTCTCCTCGCGTGTCTCCGACCGCCGCCGCCTGACCGCGTGCCCCTGGTGACGCCCCTGGGGCTTCTGACAGCGACCCTCTCCCCGCGTGTCTCCGACCGCCGCCGCCTGACCGCGTGCCCCTGGTGACGCCCCTGGGGTTTCTGACGGCGACCCTCCCCGCGTGTCTCCGACCGCCGCCGCCTGACTGCGTGCCCCTGGTGACGCCCCTGGGGCTTCTGACAGCGACCCTCTCCCCGCGTGTCTCCGACCGCCGCCGCCTGACCGCGTGCCCCCGGTGACGCCCCCGGGGCTTCTGACGGTGACCCTCTCCTCGCGTGTCTTCGACCGCCGCCGCCTGATCACGTGCCCCTGGTGACGCCCCTGGGGCTTCTGACGGCGACCCTCTCCTCGCGTGTCTCCGACCGCCGCCGCCTGACCGCGTGCTTTCGTCGGCAGCACAACGAGCAGGTGCACAAGTACAGCCAGACGCTGGAGACGCTGCTGTTCACCCAGAACCTGGACCCGCACGTGTTGGACGCCTTCCACCAGTTCCTGGCGGTGCGTGCCTGAGCCGGGCCCCGCCCAGTGTTCCCCGACTCCTCAACGGCTGGCGGCCGGCGGCCGGCCCCTGCGGCGGGCCACCGCCGCGCCCTCTGCCCGACAGGCGGCGCTGGCGTCGTGACGTGATGATGCGCGCGCGTGGCGGCGGGCTCTGGTCCAAGACTAGCGGCGTTGTGAGGTCACGGTGTGACCCCGCCTGCGGACCGCTGCGGCGAGACGGCCAGCCAGTCCATGTCGTGCTGTGAACACGGACGTCCAGCCCCGGCCGGGCCGCTTCATCGCCGTGCATTGGTGGACGTTCGGTGTGTTCTTTTCAAATAGAGTTCACGGAGGTCGACATGTCTGGAGGACGGCGATTGCCGAATTGCCACTGCGCGCGTTATATTGGCTATGATTGGTAACTGGTCCGACAAGATGCACGGACTCGTCGCCGACTGGTGCCAACCGATCTGTGGTCAATCGGTACCTACATTTTGCATTCTTTCCTTTGTATGTTCCGTACTTCGGGCATTTTGTACTTTGGATGCTCCGTACTTTCGGAATTCTGTTCTTTGACCATCGTGCATACTGCCCTCGTTGCAACCAATGATATGGGAAGCAAGGTGCGTGTGACGGGTCGCGTCTCGAGGCATGACTTAGCACAGCTGGGCGGTTGATAATGTTCGCCAGACCGGGCTATGGTGAGTCGCCACGCGGGCTGCACGCTCGCCGCTGTAGAGCGGCGCCTTGCCAGCAAGCCGACGGTACGCCGCCAATCGATCCTCGAGCTGTTTGTCCTTTCGGAGATACATCCGGCTTCATATTGGTCTATTCACCGACCCAGACGGCTCAGCAGGCACGTCCCACGGGGTTTGAATAAGTGTTTGGTTTGATGTGCATCATACTGTTCCGGTGAGCAGCTGGCAGGTGTTCTGTGGCATTCTGAGACGACGCAGCTGCCTGGCCGTCTGAACTCGGAGTACTCGACGTTAATTCTTTAAAACGAGACGCGGGTGCAAACTACCAATGCCTTTGACGCACCCCGCAATGCCAATCCGGAACGGTGGGCAGGTGCCGGATGTCCAGCCACAAACAGCAGCCGTTATTTGAGGCCTGCTGAGCTGATGTTCGAACATGACGCCGTGCTCTGGGCGCCACTCAGGGCCGTAAGATGGTGTCCCATGGGTTCCCGCTCTGTGCACCTTCTGTCGGAGTCCGTCGGGACCGCAGACCTCTTACGCCCGTCGGCACGCATCAGGCTGGCGAAACGGTCCGGCGGCGGGCGCCTGGCTGTCTTTACTGAGCTGCCCCAGACGAGCGCTTGTTGTCATTGGGACTTTACGATGCACTCGGCTAGTGAGGTTGCATTACGTCGCCCGTCTCACCCTGGCGGGAAGAGCGGGCACCGCGGGGAATCGAACACCGTACCTCAGGTGTCCCAGACGCGCGGCTTAGCCACAGCGCTATCGGTATCCAGCACCCTTCTGGACAGGTCTGGGCTGTCTGGGTCAGTCGCCCTGGGGTATAACCATCCCCGTAACTCGGCTGGCGTCGCGCCCCACATGTGACGATCGCGGAAGACAGCGCGCTGGCGTCCCAGAAGCGGTGCTTGCGTGCTTGTTGAAGGTCAAGCAGCAACTTACCAAGGTCAGTCTGACGCAGGGCGGCTGTGCGTATGACTTTACATGCACGTCAGAGATCCTTCGATATTAATTGGCAGGAAAATCAGACCCAAGCTGCTCGTCAAACGAGTTTCGTCTACAGGAGTAGTGGTGTTAGGGTCTTTGCAGCAGGGCCGTGTGAAAAATACTTGATGCCAAAAGATTCCTTCAAAGCTTTCGATGAAAGTTCTACAATAATGATGTCCATCTGAAGTTCTAGCCAGATGATTCCAGCGACGCATCATGAAAGAATGCTATTCTCGCTTCTAGGCGCCAGGGGAGCACAGAAAAGAAGTCCTAGCTCAAGCAGCGCAATTTACCTGCGGCACTAATTCACGCCCACCACGTTCACACCGCTAAGGCACACCTGGTTCACATTTTCGTTGGCCCTGAAAAACAGGTTCCTTTCGTGTCTCTTTTCTAAACATGTCTAAATGCGACTCATGCTGTAGCGGATAGTCTGTATTGGTCTGCGAGTAGCATTGGTACATGTGTAGCACCCGCCAGCGAACGGCAGTCTCTCAGTCGCAGTCAGGCACGACGGCAATCTGTCAGTCACAGCCAGGCACGCCGTAGGCCTGACGTAGTTTCTGCAGCAGATCTTGCTTTTCCTCCTCTGGCAGAAAGCAGGCTTTGGCCGCCTTGAAGTTCTGTGGACAATAGACCACACTTTTGCTCATGGACACTGCTTGAGACTGGCGGCTTCGCTTTAACTTTACGTTCCTACATTCACTCCTAGGCAGGACACTGATGTGCACTTTTTTTCTTTGGAAGCGATCGCATTCCGTTATTAAACTAGTACACATCTTTACATTTACGTTCCAACGTACCACGGGCTAGGAGAAGGCATTTGGGGATTCCGAGCTGGGATCTCT